CGATAAAGGAATAAAAATGGAGGCCAGTGCTATTGTCCAGCATCATATCGCGTAATTTTAATTAACCCAGCTTTACTTTCACAATACTTATTTCAACGTTTCTCCAATGGATTATTTAATACTGAAAAAGGGAATTCTGAAATACCATACACCTAATTAAAGCTATGTGGTAGATGAGGTGTAACCAACTGAACAATTTATAGAAGACGGACGGTAGCCTCTCAGGCTTTGTCTTACTCTGTTATTGATTTAAACAGTATCTCAGATTATTGACTATTAAAACTGGAGGAGATACCTGAACCAGAACATAAATAAGTCGCTCTTGTCAGAAGAAAATTAAGTGCGATTTAAATGCTATAAGATCTTAATTAAGTAGACAGTAGAGGAACAGCTAGCGAACTTCAAAGTGAGTTTGACATTTTATTACATTGGTTGTAAATATTTTAATATCAGCAGTATGAGCAATAACCATGATTCATTTGAAAATAAAGTTTTCCGAACGAGTTTTCGAAAACGAAGTAGTGGGTAGTTTTCACACTTAAAAGTAAGTTATGCTCGATGCATAACACGTGCAATATTAATAAATTTAAAATATCTCATATAATTTCCTTTGTCTCAAGAAGGACATTAAAATTACAGCCTGAATTTGGCACAGTCATCGGAACCACAATTCTGTACGAAATTCAAATTCTATTACAACATTTAAATAGTTTTAAATCAACATCTACATATACGAATTGTGTATTAAAATTACGAATTTCTTTTATTCAATATAAATGTGACTTGTACAATAATAAAAATATATTATATGAATCTACAACCTTTATTACAACGTGCTTGCATGTGCTTTTTGCAGGCTCAAATATTTGACGACATATGAACTAAGGGCTAAAACAGAATATTCATTGTCCATTTCATACACCTTCGAATTTGCAATGATTACAGTCGTGTAATTGTCCAAACTTATCTTTTTAGCCCCTGTTCTATCAAATCCGTAATATACAATACCTAGAACAAAAATTATATCATCGGTAGCTGTCGGCAAGTGACGGTATGGTATCGATGTTGCTTTTTACTCCAACTAAGTAAATTTTGAATCCCTAGTATAACTCATTGTATGTGTAACTTAATTCAATGCATTCTAATCTTCGGCTATCATTTAAACATGAACAGTCACTTGCTGTGGTCGCGATGCTATTGCTTTACAAAATGTATATCTCTTAGATGAGCTGATCAAAACATGAATTGGTATCGGGCATTGAACAATTGGTACCTATAGAAATAATTATATTTAGTTCGCTAAAGTTATATCTCAATATATAGCTTTATTATTCTAATCTTTAAATTTTAAATGTGATTTAGAATTTGGTTTCACGATGGAGGTTTGCGGACGATTTGTGACCAGTGCCGTTTGAAAGTTTCGATCTAAATCAACAAATGCATTGCGTGTCTTCGCTCATCTTAGGGCACAATCCGTCCGCTCCCTCACATTCTAATCTAGTCTACTTCCTTACTATCTAAGTGCAGTATTTTACATTTATGTATTCAATTTTATTCTGAAAATTATTACTCTCATAAAACTATTAAGTATACATCGCAACTAACAGTAAAACAACATTATTATATTTCTCTGCTATTATACAAACTTAACATTATGCTTGCGGTAACGTTATGTAGATTATTTTTTTTTAAATTGGCAACGTATATATTGTATCTGTTTTTAACTTTAATATTTTTCAAATATTTTTAAAAATATACTCAAATCAAAGAGGCATCTGCGTTAAGCAAGGCAAACTCTCACTTACAATCGGTATTGAGGTATTTTCTCAAACTACTATTTAATAAGACACATGCATATCAACTTCGTAGCGACAGCATGAAGTTTTAAGTGAAAACATGTCCGGTAACAACAAAAAGAGTAAAAAATTACAGAATCGTCTAATAGTGTTTTTCCTATGCTATGTTTTAGATTCCAATTAAAAAGACCTTTTAAAGTTACAAGTATTTCGTCTATTCTTAAATAGTGTCTTACATTTTCTACTAATAGTTTCTCTAAGATATTGAGCACGTTAAGACGTAATTTTATGTTCCCCATCGGCTTGTTTAGGTCATTTACCAAACATATTTTCATTCCTTCCGTTTTTCTTGGTATAACAATCATAAATTTCTTAGAAGCGCTAAACGAGTTCTTCATCTGAAATTCTTTTACTAAAAGTTAATCACCTTATTGGATTTCGTTTATGTACTTGTTAAATTAATCTATCTTCAAGGTATCTACATTCTTGTATTTATTTACACAATTTTCAGATCACATCGCGTCGCTTCTCAAATAACCATTATTTATATTCAATTGAAATCGGCAAAGACAGAGTTTGCATTGAGGAATGAAACTTTTGTTAACCTATCGGAATTCGCCACAGAAATTTCGTCGTACACTCTACTCATGATCGAATAATTCCGTGACATTAGGGTTTAATTGTCGATACGTAACGTTCCAGTAAAAGACTAGATTTCAAAATTTGTAAAAATTCTTAAAAATCATTTACAAATTAACTTCACAGCACTATTTGTTGTACAAACATTACCTCAATCACTTGTAAACTCACAGACATTTATGTATACACCTAACGTGGTGTTTATCATTCACATATATACATTTCACTACGGGGAAAATACTTTAGGAAGTCCAATGTTCATAGAAACAAATTAATGCTATGAATACAGTAAATCTTTAGGAGTGACGTTATTTTTTAAACAAAGTAGCGTGACTTCTAAAAATGCTTATAAACTGAAACAATATCTCGCCTTGACATAATTTACTAAATAAAACACTATTATCGGTTATAAAAGGCGAGGTGTATTCATTCATTTTATCTACTTGTCTTTTTTGTAACAGCAGGGAAACAAAAAAGTGATTAACTATGTTTCGTGTTTCAAACTGTTAAGAGTGTTTTGTTTACCCGCGAAAACTACAGACAATACTTAATATCTGTAAAGTTTGGGAGGATAATATAATTTACATCTTTTATAAGTCTATTGCTTAATATTATAACCTGCTCTCGATTCAGTTTTCTAAATTGTGGAATCCAAATAACAGGGAATAAATTTGTCTCTCTCTCGAAAAAATTCGGACATAACATAGGTTTTGATCAAACAAAGTTTTCTTCGTGCTCAATGAATTAACACTGATACTTGAGACACAATTTTTAACTCTATCGTAATAGTTAAAGGTGCTTTGATAATTTGAAGACTGGCGCTCGGTATTACTACAATTAGACAGGATACGATGCAAAGTAGATTGAATTTTCCATCCAAGCTAGTCCGTGACACTACATCTATTTGTAATTACTTATAGTGTTTTGACCCTAGAGGTACTTAAATTATCAAGGTGATTTTTTTCAGAACCCAATAAAAAATGTTAGTTCAAATTCTAGAAAGGCTATTCAGAATCTTGCGACGCATAAATGTGGGGTACTGTGTATATCCAACGCGAGAAAATTATGCCCTTCAAAAGCTTTCTCGTTCTCACCATGCACGATAGAATTGTAACAAAACGTCGCAATTAAATATTTTTAAGTACTACTACCATGTACCACTGACGCGAAAGTTCGTGATGAATGTTTTGAATTATTCCACTTAAATAATACTTGAAGAATTTAAATATCAGAACACATAACTGGTTTATAAATATGTTTTAGATCAGCGACCCGGGACAGAATTAGCCTTCGATATATAGATTATAATGCATATTATGTAACCTAAATGTAAAAAGCAGTAAAATCCAATCCATGGTGGTACGACTACATAAAAGTGTGATGAATGAAACGTTAAAAAATTTGGCATCAGTGTATCTTGGAAGGCAGGCATCTTTAATCCGAAAGTAATTTTAAAGTAGTATTTAAGCGACTCCGGGGCAGGCATTAAATGATATAAAATAATCTCTGTAATAATTCGTTACAACCATATTAACTCCCGTATTCTCAAATGATAATTTACGAGCAGGAAAATACTTCTGATTACCAGGACGTGAGCGAAATCGCTTTACGCTTGTTATTATTTAATTAATAGCCCGAAGCAAAACATAACCTTCATACAGATCCGGGATTTTCTTTGCCTCTTAATAAAATAATTTCTTTAATACTGACGTACAAGGTTATCACAATAAGAATACTGCGAAACATCACTTCCATTATTCCTCTGCACCAACTGACGATGTTAATTAAAATACATTTTTAATCTAAGCACGTGGAAGAGAGTGCACTAGAGTTTTATTAATATTGTGTTAATAGTGTAAAATTTTTAAATGGAAATTATAATTTTATTCACACTAGTTATATCTATTTTTTACATTTAAATCTAGGATAGTCGTATCATAGTTAATACAGATTATGTATAAGTATTTACAATTTTTACTTTAATATACCCGCGTTCGTATAACTCTGAGTGCTTGTGTATATCGTACTTTTGTCTCGTTGAGATATTTTTTCTTTTTTCCTCTTCTACTTTATATTACGGTTCAAGGCTATTCTTGAAGCTAAGTCAGGTATCTTGTAGGAGGCACTAACTTTATTCCACTGTTTGTTTATTAACGACAACGGTAAATTTACTAGTACCGAAATAAGGAAACTGAAATTATAAAACCTTAAATTATATTATATTACACGTACGAAAGTTTTTAAGTACGTCAACAAATATAACGTTGACTTATCTTTTTTTACTCTATGGCGACTAATTCATGCCTAATAATAAATACACCTTATGTAAACTATATACTATACTAACAATTCTACATAAACTTTTGTATAGATTGACATAATTATGTTCAAACGAATTTAACTTTGATGATTCCGTGCCACTTACGATAAACGAGGATAAATTGTGATTCTTGGATTTAATAGGGATAATGTGCTATATGGTATTCGAAATATCTAATAATTTAACTTTAATTCATTGTTTCACCAATTCTTTTTCGTCGAATACCAGTTTTTCGCCGTTTTTATTTAATGTTCTTCGCCAAGTAGTACCAAATCGTCCGCAACGACGTCAGAGACGTGTAAGTAGATGATCCAGTACATGAGGTTGAAGCAGACAAAGCAGACGGGAAACACTATGCGCGAATACTTGTCGATGTCTGACGGAGTCGTGCCCAGCAGTTTGTTGATGCTCTGTAAAATTGTACTACCTTAACTTCTTTAATTTGATTCTTACTAAGAAATTCATCAGTCGCAGTTGCGCACAATCGCATTGCAAAGTTATCGTATAGTCGCATTGCAAGCACGCATAGAATTGGTATCAGAACGTCAACTAACCTTAGATGCTTGTAGGAGGTGAGGCGGTATCTCTTCTTCTGGTTGAGGGGCTGGCGGTGCAGGCGCGGGTGGTCCTCTGGCTCCATTGATGGTATTTTCATGCGTGATGCCCTTTGAATATGCTTTTGGGTCGTGGACTTTAAATCGGACTTCCTGTGTATGAGGATTGTATGACTAAATTTGGGTATAGCATAGATAGTTCAGTAACCATATAAGGTAAAAGGTGTCAAATAATGCACTACGTACCGATGATCGGCTTGGTGGCGCAGGTCTTGATAGCGTGCTTGTCCTTGGCGGTGGTAGGGGTTCTGATGTTCCAGGAGGTCCGTCTAAATGTATCTTCTTCTCAGCGGCCATTTTCTGAACAGCGGTGAAGCGTTGTTTTCTCATTTGTATCCTCTTAGCCATATAGCCGACAGTAGCATATTCTGGAAGAGATGTATCAAATTCACTGTATGCAAATACAACACGCTCGCAAAGCATGACCACATTTAATGGTATAAATCTATTTCAGCACAATACCAGATAAACGCAACGAATAAAAGGTATAGAAGGAATAATTCACACATCGTATATTGTTTTTGTTACCTAGTAGACTAGCGAAGACCATTACGAAGCAGGTGCCCAGATAAACATCTATTGATTTGACATACGATATCTTGGGAAGAGCGGCGTTTGTAGATGACATAAGAGTTGTCATGGTCAGCACAGTAGTTACACCAAGTGACACACGAGCGGGTGTCGCATTCCGGTTGAGCCAAAATGAGACCCACGATATGATCACGATCAACCCAGACGGAATGTATATTTGGATCAAGTAATATCCCATTGAACGAACGAATTGGATTTCGCAAGCCAATCGTGAGTAATTTCCTGCAAGAAAAATCCTGTGTTTAGCTTTATATCACTAAAGGTACATACATACACCCAAAATGCTTGTATAAGTAAAAATGAAGAGCGAAATGAAGTTGAACGACCTGAAAGTGAAGTCGAATCAAGCGATCAACATGCAAATGGTTATTGTAATAAACCATAATAAACAGAAAAGGCTCATTCTTTATCTGTGGTATATTTATGAGGATTAGGTGCAACGTACCTGTTGTCAGGGAGATTTCCATTGCTCGTTGGCGATGCCCCAGCACCTTGAACTGCGGCAGAGATACTTCACTGGAGACGCCTACGGAGTTAGGGCCTTCGTTCCACTTATATCTGATGTCCCGCATGGTGTAGCCAACTGTACCATGCAGAGATATGGAACGATAAAATAAGCACCCATTCCACTGGGGTTTTAATAAACTCGTAGATGAATGAGCCGTCTACCAAAGCGAATAGATTGAAGTGATAATGATAAATAAATGTATGACGCAAATTCAAAAGCGTTTGTTGTTTGTAGACTACCAGCGTCGTGGATCTGTTTGTCCACAAAAAGTTTTGTATTAGAAATTTACAATGTATCGTTGTATGTTATTATAAAGCGCAAATATTTTATTTATTCTCAAGATAGAAGCAATGGTACGAAACTCACAACTTTCGATCTCAATGTTGCAAAGCTGTCGGTCCATGGGAAAGTATTGCAGGTCCATCGGACACGATGCCGTGATTGTTAATCTGAAATAAAATAGAATCGTAAGATTTCTTGAACATTTCTTCAAGTAAAATGAACAATGAAACTTTCAAACTATGATCTGCATTTTCTTATAGTTCAATAGTTACCATATACATATGTAAATTCAAGTGATCAACTTGAAAGGGAAACCAAGAAGAATGAAAAAGATTTATTTAAGTAATGTTTCGAATTTAATAAAATACTTTACCTAACTACTAATAGATGTAAGATAATAATTATTGTAGCGGCTTAGAATAGGGTCGTAATGTCAATACCGAACTTAACCAATAATAGTTATTTTATAAAATTAAAAAACTCGAACAACTATGTTGTAGTATCGTCTGTAAATTATACGAATAACAGAACAATTTCAACGATTTATAACGCGGAATATTTTAGCTTAATAAATGACGGCAAACATAAATCATTTACTGTATTAGGTATTAAAAATAAAGATTTTTAATGAGTTTGATTAGTTTTAATGCAGTTAATATAAATGAAACTAACGCTATTAAATTATTATCTATTTTTTTCATTTAAACATAACCTATACCACATAACCTTTTAAATGCTAAACTGCATACGTGTCAGGTATTAAAGTATCATCTTACATCAGTCAAAGTATAAACAGTGATTCTATACAGTACCTTATACTACGTGTTATAGATCCGGAATGGTGAATACGAATAAATTCATTGCTCGTTGTTGCGATATGAAAATAAGATTGCTTCTCGTTTACGAAAAAGGTATCAGGTACCCATATATTTCTTATGAACTCAGACCCGACAGATAGAGTTTCTACGCCAGGGCGCTTCTTGTACGCTAATCTTGGATCCGTCCAGAACTGCCTGAAGTAGAAATCCAAAGTGAAGTCCTGAAACATTTGATGTGTTGAAGACAGGCGTATTCTTGTAGATCACATGCATCCCGGTGACTGTGTTAAATTTTTATTATAAGGATACATTTTGTAATAGAATCATCGATAGCAAAAATGTTGACTGCTAGCAGTCAAGTCTTTTATATTCGTCGGTTTCTGACGTTAGAAACTCTGTAACGCTTAATAACGGTTATTGAATATTAACATGAACATCTCAAGTTAATTCAAAAATTGAGAAAGATATTTCAAAAGTTAATTGTTTAGTTGCGTTAAACGCCTCCCGAGTTCAATTTCCCAGAAGCACAATAGTTCGTTTAGACGAGACAGAAGACTGTAATGTATAACTAATTCTTTCATCAGCGTTCTGTGTTCTGTGTGTGTCGTCTTAATAGATATTGAATTTATATAACGCCATCATATGTAATAACATGTGAAAAATATTATAGTTTTCAATAATTAAGAGGTTTATTGCTGATTGTTATGGGAATCAGAAGAGATTTTTAAGTAAGTAGGTATTTTTTTTATAAAACTTGTTTAACCCTTAAATAAAATATGGCGCAAATTTTCGTATTTATTAATACTGTACTTTTTCGTATATTTTTAAATTGTTTATTTTATAGTGAAACTGTAAAGTGAATCAGTGTTGAAAAGACGATATATTTTTAATCACCAAAATACATATAATAAAAACAGGCAGATAAGCTATCAATATTATTTAGCAGGCAGAGCTTAAATCGGCTGTATGAAAGCAGCATTCGTGACGCGAATACTTCGTTATTTGAAATTTTATACAGAATGTATCCTTTATTTATGTGCCTTATTTTGTAGAGGGATGCATGTTGTGTTTTTTTAACAATCCTCTTGTTGCAGACTGCATAATATGACATGAGAGCTCATTAGTCAGGACACTCACTGGGTCATCAATTTCTTGTATAGTACCTTTTTTCAAGTGTGTCTGCAATAATTAGATTGTGGACAAAAAGCTCAGTGATTGTATTCCGTTCTCGTATTCAAAGTACACGTAAATAGAAAATGTATCGCAAATATTTAGATATTCCTTTCAAAGAGAATCCGATATTTCTTTCACGATGAAATTGAAATATCATCTGTTACGTGTACTTTTCATGATAACCTATAATCTATGTACTATGTTTATGGTCACGTCTCAATGTGACTTTGAATGCAGTCCCCTTGATTTGGTTTCCACTAGGGGTCACAAACCCTGGTCACAGTTAGACGGTGTAATTTGGAACCGTTATCAAGGGTGAACCATCAGCGGCACTTTATTGAACAAAAAATACAACCGCGATTGTTTTTAACATTTCTAAATGCTCTTTTTTGTCGCGGCTCGATTTTTTTTCTTACGGAAGATCGATTGGTCGGAACAGAAATTTCCGTCATGAAAAAAATAAAAAACAAAACATAAGTTATCTGTACGAAAATAAACGAAATCATAGAACGAATATTGTTTAAGTTCCCTCGTCCAACTGGAACTCACGGACAGAATTACAAACATTAAATACATTCATAGCAAGACTACTAAAAGTAAGAAATTGCAAGTGGCGAATTTGAGGTGTACACGCCAATCTGGGAGACAATAGTAAGAAACCCACAGACACAACAGATACCTACTCAAAAACATAAAAAGCTCAAAACAAAATAACAACAATGGAGCAACGACAGAGTCTTGCTTGGAGGGATGCTTAGTAGCAAATTAAATTTTTATGTCTTTGTGACACACCTGGAAGGTAACACTACCTCTGCCAATTGGAATTTTAAGATTTAGTAATACAAAAAGTCGCGGTAGTGTTAAACCGTCCAGGATGGTCTGCTCCAATACGCCGGCATGCTCGCAGCCTCGTAACTAGGGCTGCTCGGTCGTTCGGCGTGCGCCGAAGCGGCCGAGTCAAGCGTGAGCTGACAGGGACGAGTACCATGAGCACTTCGGAGACGGAGCTGATAGACAGCACATACATGGTGACGCCCACCTCCACTGGCGGACCTGCAATCAAGCCCAATCGTGAGTCCAGCGCGCATGCGCGAGTGAAAACCAAACCAAAGGATGATCCCGGGGACCCTCATTCGAAGACGGACTAGATCCGACTCGAAAAAGAGTGAGCCTAGCTCTTCGGTGAACATGACCATCTACGTAAAAGTAGTCTCTTAAATACCATTTTCACTTCAGATAGAGAACTGATGGACAGCACGTACATGGTGACTCCAACGTCCACGGGTGGTCCTGAAACGTTACACCGGTTACTTCGTATTCCAAACCCGACCGATGCTCTGCTGTTAAACCCAATGCTTAAAAACCTAATTTGGAAGAAGTATAAGTTACATGTAGCAGTAACAGTCGAACTGTCCTTAATGACCCCAAATGGTCCTGCATACGACGACACAGTGATGTATCTTTTATTAGTATCAGTAATCTAGCTTTCAGAAATTTTCTTCTTATTACCTCAAGGATTTATATAGCTTCGAAGTCAACTTGAGAACGGTCATAATTCTTTGAAATAGTTTTAAAGAGCGAAGTTATAAGTTGAATATTTTTTGCTCTTCTTTGGAACAAACTTGAAATGGAGTTGTGCCGATCGATTGAAACTAATTTTGTACTTACTTAATCCAATGCCAATCTGTGGTCGCTTAACACGCAATTATTAAACTCCGTGATAAAACAAGCGTAAAATATAGGTCGCTCAATCGGTGCTAAATGAAGGCGTATCCCCCGTGACCACGGCTGTTATTTATCATTTTAAACAATTAAACGTATTTTAGTGAATTTTAACGACTATAAAAGTATAGGGTATAGTTAAGAAGTGAATATACTTGCATCTTGGGGAAAGAGCGTCGTTTTTTCGGAGCGAAAAAGAGTGCTATAAAACGCGATTTCTCGAAATTTAGCAAAGCGGAGCTGAAATACGGAAACATGAAGATCACTCACCGCCATAATTGGGCCTCACTCTTTTATCGTAGCTGACACTCAGTGAGTCCAAAATAGCTGAGATGTTGACGTCGCCGAACATTCCACCCCCACCAGCGCCACTGTTAACAAAGTTGGTTATAAGCCGCAATGATTTAACAAACCCCTAAAACCCTGTCTACTATTGGGATAAGTTTGACAGTGGACGTCAATATAGAATTAATAAATATACACAAAACGTTATCCAATTTACAGACCCGGCTACTTATTAAACTGGCTTTCGATACCGATATTACAAAGTTGAAATTTTTTATTGTTTGAACGCTATATCAGAAAGTAGTTTTTGACATTTGCCCATTCCAACTCAAATTGGTTTTTTATTTTTATTTAATATATATTAGAGAATTTTTAGGAGTTTTAACATCAGATAAGCAAGATACAGTGTGAAAATTTTACAAAATAAGCATGATTTAACGCGATATATTAGTTAAACTTATTTGAAAATGATTTTTATGCTTTGCAGCAGCCGTGGTCACGGGTCTACCCGACCACGGCTGCAACAAAGCATCCGAAACGTCGGGCCGAAATTAAAAATCATTTTCAAATAAGTTTAACGAATATATCGCATTTTAAAACGTTAAATGTGTACTACTCGCGTAAACTATAGACAGTATTTAATAAGCATGATGCCCAAAATGCCTATATATAATGCGAAGTTGCGGACATAGCTAAATAAATATTCATTTATAATATGACCGCGTTCAAAGAAAGTTTATTTCGTTAACATTCAATATAAATTTGCATTAATAATTATATTAATACGAATTTCTCTGGCATAAAACTATTATGTAAATTTAAATTGAATGTTAAATCTCGTTAAAGACAGACAGAGGTTAATAATAATGCATAATTTAACAATGAAGCGATAATGAGTGTATTCACACCTTTATGCGTTGCATGGATTCATGGACGAGCTTTGGGCCGAATAATGATTTTCATTTGACACAAACATGATATGCAACAAGCGTTTACGGGAATAATTCTGACAATATGAGATGTAATATCGGTCAGATTAACAGATTTCAATTGTAACATCTGTTTATCTATTTCCACGGCTTTTGAAAAGCATCCGAAACGTCGGGTCGTAGTTAAAATAATTCAAATTGATATAAATTGTAAGTAATATATGTCGCGTTTCAAACCGTTAAAGTGTTATATGTGTATATCTCTGTGGGTTTCCGATGCGAAAACGGAAACGTAAATTGTCTAAAATGAATTTACCGATACTAAATATTTATCTTTATAAATTAACTTGCATAAGGTAACGCGACCGACGTCGTGTGTGTTACCCAGTATATAAAGATGAAGAGGAGGTTTGCAAAAACGAATTTGGATGCCAAATATTACTACTCAACGCACGAAGTCACTGTCGCAGTACATTACATTAGTACATTCGACGTTTCCGTATTGTGTACACTTTCGAATAGAACTTTCAATTTCGTTTCGTTTTCAGTCCGTGGATTTCCAAATATCGAAGCAAAAAGCAAAAGATCGACAGTGAGTCATAATTACTCGTAGATTTAATAAGTTGGTTGGGGTATTACAATGTTTATAATTAATGATTATTCTAAGCTACGTTTTTAAATGTAATTTAACACTAAATCTTTATTTCCTTTAAAAGAAATACGTTCTATTTTTTTACTATTTCGATGCATTTTCCATCAAATTAACCAAAAACTTGTTCCACTTATATTGTAATAAAAAAAACATAATTTACTTATTAAGTTATTTACCAACTTAAAAATATGTTATAAATGAAATGGCCACCGCAGTAGCTAAATTGTTAAACGTTGCCTTGCATTGCGTTGCAAGAGAGGTCCTAGATTCGAGTCCCGGGGAAGATAACTAGTTTCGGTCGGGTAGGGCTCCGAAGTCATTCCTGTAAATAAATCCGACCAGAGAAACGGACACAATACTGTGTTCGTCGCATGTCGCGCAATAAGTAGAACTCGAATAATTAACTTTCCCAGGGAGTGAAAATTGTAAGTCTTATTTTTCTTTGGGGCTACATTAAAGACTGTAAAAATCTTATTCAGATCTCGAATGTTCAAGTGGCTTTCATCTTTCCGTAAGAGCCTTGAAGGAGAGAGGTATCGAGTGGATATTAAAAGTGAAGAATGTTTAACGAAAATTTATAATTGTAATACTATATTAGTTTAATATTTTTCACATGCTGTTTCATATGATAACACTATATAAGTTAAAAATCGATAATAAATTGAAAAAAAAATGGTTAGAGCACAGCGCGAAACGTTGTGGATGGTGGTTCAAGACTTGCCCGTGTCGTAATCTTTGTTCAATTCCAATTCGATTTTTTTTTTCAAGTAGTTCACCCGAGTGGAACATGCAAAAAATTATTTATACCAGCTTTTTTCCTTCTTTATATTATGTTCTATATTTAAATTACATCGTTGCGATGGCCTCACGGGAATTTCTTGTTTGTACCTTAAAGAAACCGCTGTTTCATATTACGAAGGTGTAATTTTTCACTCTAAGAATATACGGGGAACTTAAGAAAATACGGGGAAATCACACCTGTGTTCAATACAAACTTCATACTACTCTCAACAGAGTAAGGCGAAGTTGTGAAAAAGTACAACTCAAACTAAACTTTGTGTGGTACAGAAGTCTTACGTTTAAACTTTTATTTTCCTGTTTTCCAATATTGTTGTGTAAAATGTTTTTATTGTGATTCGGTTGGCTTTATAAGAAATTCTTTACTTTTCCGAGTAGGGCACATTACATATAAAACGTTTAACGGATTAAAACCCGGAATAAATAAGTTATCTCACTAGTCATAGTGGGATAACTTATTAGATTAGATAATTAAAAGAATTAACTTCACGTTTTAAATCGTTAAAACTAGTTTATGTTGGGTTAAAACTAGGTTATAGGCTGTCATAATTTTGAAACTTTAATATTATAATACACATTATGTTGGTGTGGTTACATATACGCTAAATCTAATAAATTCATTAAGCGAGCAATTTCACAGACATTTTACTAAATCTGTATCTGCATTTTCTTCCTTTTTCGAGCTCCACGTGGTTGTAATTTAAATTTTATAACCACGATCAAAATTGCGATTGCCTTTGTAGGGCAGTCAGACACACTTCTGAGTCTATTTCATCAAGTTATTGAAACAGTTTATTAGACTGAACCTGAAATTCAAACTCGAGACTGTTTTTAAATAGATAAAGCGTTCAAGCCTACCTACCTAAAGACCTGTTTTGGTTTTGACTTCGCAAATCCACAGACTGAAACCAAAACGCGATTAAACTTCACGGCCTTATCATCTGCGGTGCATTGTGATTCGAAAATTCGGATTTTCAGACGAAGTCTAACATGTTTCAGGTAAATTTTAAATCGATTAAGTAGATAGATTCCTGTGGCGATAAAACTCAACGCGTTGATTATTATTTCTATCCATTGTTACCATGACACAAACGTAATGAGAAGAATTGCATTTTAAACAATGTATTTTCTATATAACCATGAACATTTGCGGTGTGTTAAAAATAAACTCCATAATGGGATAACAGTTGTTGGATTATCGGCAAGCGGATTACAAACACGTCTAAGACCTTTGAAGTACTTGTAGTCTAGTTTAACCCGATAATCAGTCTTAGTTGTATGTTTCTGGCGTGGGCTGCGCCACGCCATTCACGAAGGATGCAGCGTACATACATATTATTGAGGCTAAAGGCACAAATAATAGTGAAAATTCATTTTCAATTAAATTTTTACGTAAATAATAGTAAAGAAAAAAAGTTTTATTTTCCTCCTTATCAAAAATCATGTTTTTTGTTATTAGGCCACTCTGACTCTAGCAGGCTCATATAAACATGTGTTATAAAGTAGAATAGAAGATCAAAATAATTGTGTATATGAGATTGTGCTGAAATAGAACCATCTAGAGCAAAAACCGCCAAGTACATTAAGTTAAAAATCTATTTGGTTAACGACACATACTAGCTGGCCCGGTAACGTTGTTTTGCCGTATAAATGAATTCTTGGGATTTTGTTGTGTGTAAGGATCTGCTAAGATAACCTTGGTCTCATGACTATTCTTTGCTGTTAGGGGACAATTTACCAAGTGATAATTGATCAGTAAACAATACTTTGGAATACGCAAAAGTGTGACTCGTTCGTTTTATTC